TGTGGACAATCCCCACAGGAGCAATTTGGGATGAAGTGTCTTGCCCAGGGACACAACGACATGCTGACTGCAGTGGGGTTTGAACCTGTGCTCCCCTGTTCCGAACACTAATGCACTAACCCACTGCTCCACAGCCCCCCCTGGACATCTCTAAGAGGTTGACCAATCGGAACAGAGCCGGCCAGCTAACCAATCAGAGCAGACTGGGCTCTGGTTTCAGACGAAGGGTGACAAGAGGTGCTGCAGCACAGGCAGTATGAGAAAAATAAAGAGGATCTTCTCTTTCCTCAGAACTGTTACGTAACAACTTGCCAAGGAAAGACATAATCGAACATATGAGAGGACCCTCTCTGGAGAGCAAGGGTTTTATTATGTAGTATTTGTTGATAAAAGCTCATGACAGACGAGTACTCTCACAATATCACACCATAACTCTGTGCCTCGGGTGCTGCTGAGGAGGGGGATGTTCAAAACGGCCTCATGTGTGACCTCACATGTGATACAGTGCAGCAGAGGGCTTGGGAGATTTATGTTCCACATCCTCTTGTTAAATAAGCACAGGGCCCCCCAAACAACATCTGCAGGCAATCTCCACTAACCCCCCCACCAGCAGCCCATGCCATGCCAGCCACCATCCATGGCTTCATCAGGGGTCACGACCTCCCTGTACTAAGCGTGGATACGAAAAGAGAGCCGCAGATCATGCACGTCAGTGGGCAACATCACATTTCCATGCTGCTCCCAGGAAGTGCGTTAATCCATCTAATCAGGTCAGAGGTCACACATTGATGGAGACAGGGATCGTGAGTGGAAGTGGAAGATCATTTTTCATATTACCCTCCGAGATGACTTTCCCAAAGAAACTGGGTTTGAAGAAAAGTAAGCAAACAAGAACTTTGGGAAAAGGGACGTGGAAGCTGAGTTATGTCTCCTGACAGGAGAAAGACGTGAGACTGTGTTTCTTCTTTCTTCACTTGAAGACGCTCGACAGAGCCTGCTGCAGGAAGTTAACGCATCATGTGACTAGATCAGAAAATAACTGCGCACTCTATGAACTCACCACAGCTTTCTCTCAAGAGGAACGACAGGAAATGTTCCCCTTCAACAGTTACAGTGCATTTAGCGGCAGAAATAACACCTACTATCACAGGATGTTTCTGGTGTTTCTGGGCCATGACCTCTCAGGCTTTGAATCACCAATGTTTGTGAAACATTGAGAAAAGGGGATTTTATTTGAATGTACAGTTTTTCTGATGTGTGGATTGTTTTGTTATGGATTTATTTGTACCTGTTACAACACTGTTGCCATACACTATTTATCAAATGTAAATGATAAAAAAAAGAAAAAGTGTGTTTAATCATTTGTATAATGGTAACTTTAGGGTGTAGTTTAACATTGTTATAAACTGCTTCACAAAATGCCTGAGAATTTAAAAGAAATGTAATTTGCCATAAAATAAAATGACGAGAACTATTCATAAAAGAGTCTTTAAAGTATACATCTTCATATTTCATATATTTATTTACGCATAACGGCAAAAATTGCCACTCCACTAAGTATAATTCACTTCTTCATACTTCAGACGTTTAATTTTTTATTTGACCGACTTAAACACAGCTGCAGTACAAATCTTCAACGAGATATGACAAATATGAGTGCCGATGCCATTGACGAATGCATCAAAAAGAAAGTACATTAGGGAAGCAATAGTAACATATTTATAAAAATAATAATAATTTATAAAAATTAACACATTTTCTTCATTGAAGTTGTTTGAAGATCCAGTTTTATTTATGTTTTAGAAAAATAGCAAAAAGTATTTGAAGTACTAATCACTATGCAAATACTAATTGAATGGCCACTGCAAAATGAAGCTAAACTGTCCAACCCCTGAACACATCACGAGTCCAGTGCGACACCACCTTTAAGCATGGCCTGCAGAATGAATACATTAGAATGAACACATTTCTGATAGTGTCACAAACAACAGAGGTTTGTAAAGGCAGATGTTATGGCAGGGATGTTTTTGTTGTTTTGCTCCAACCTTCCTCAACCTGCCTCCTCCTACTTCCTGGAGGGGCGGAGCCAATACATCTACTGTATTAAGGCAGGCAGCGCACCTGAGGCGGACCCTCTGCTCAGGTGGAGGCCTCACTTTAGACCTTCATATACAGTATAGCAGCTTCAGCGATTTATAGGGTGGGAATTGACACTTCTTCCTCTAAATACCTGAACAATTTGCATATATCACTCACACTACCTCTCTGCATTTTAATGATAATGCTAAAAAATTAAATTTAGATAGCATCCTATGTTTGTAGGTAATTTTGCCATTTTAAAATATTGTAACTTATTCTGTATATTTTACATTGTGTTTTCTTAAGATGCTGATATGTATTTACTGTTGTTTATTGTTTTGTTTTTATGTTATTCTGTTTTTATCATATTTTTAATTGTTCCTTTTAACTTGTCCATATTTGGGATGAATAAAGTGTATTTAATCTAATATCCTTATATTTTGTACTGTTACATTTGCATTTGGTTAAGTTATTCCTACATTATTATGCTCAATTATGTTTAAAGTTAACTGGCTTTTCTGAAATGTTATTTGAAATATAACTTTTATCTGTGAACTAACTGATTTATTATGCACTTTTATGCCAAATCCACCAACATACAATAAGCAAATTACAATAAAAGATTGATCTGGAACTCCTACCTTTGCTCATATTCAACACATTGCTTTTGCCTGAATCTGCTTAATGGTTTTCTCTTTTTGGTTCATTGGTTCTGTTTTTAATTCAGTAGATGAACCTATGTGTTCATAAAATAGTGTGTGTAACTAAAATGGAGCACTTTCTGTCAGCTCAGATTTGATTTCTGCTTCTTTAAACTGTAGTATGTGCTCATGTGTTTCAGTGTTAGGCTGCTGCCTGAATATGCTTCATGAAAGGCAGCTTTTCCTATCAATAAAATAATTTCTGATACTAAAACATCTTATTGATGTTTCTTACTTTTGTAAATAGTGGCATTGCATTTGATGCAGGCATAATCAAAGTAACAGAAAGTACGTGACTTTCATATTTTGATACTCAGATTAGGTTACTGATATATTTTTTTTACATGTAACTAGTCATCTTAACTGCATTTTTTTTTATTAAGTAACCCTCCCAACAGTTATTAGTTTTATTTCAAGTGATATTTTAGCAAAGGCAGTTATTCAAATATAATCAAGCATAGATTGAAAAATAACCAAATGCAAATTAAGTGGTACAGCAAATCGGGTATGATATGTTATATTAGATTACATATACTTTATTCATCCCAAATTGGGACATTTAGCAACCACATCAGCAAGTTGAAACACTATAAAAATAAAATAAAAATATAACTTAATACAAATATAAATAAACAAAGAAAGAAACATCTTATTGATATTTATTTTCTCTTTTATTCATTGGAATTGCATTTGATATTAAGGTTATTCAAACGTAACAAAGTAATCAGGTTACATTTCTCTAATATTTCGATCCTCTGATTAAGATACACATTACATTATTTACAGTTAATTAGTATTGTAGCAGAATACATTTTTAAAGTAACCCTCCCAACGCATTCAAATCTTCCCTTACTTCAGGGGTGTCAAACTCAAGGCCCGGGGGCCAAATCCGGCCCGCGACTTCATTTCATGTGGCCCCACAAGAGCTTGCAAAGAATATAATATGTTTATTATACGGTTACATGCCGTTTTACAGAAGCACATTGCCCATAAACTACATGTCCCACAATGCATCTCAAATTAGATTTTTTTTCTCGGAATTTGACTTTTTTTCAAAATGTTACTTTTTTTTTTCAAAATGTCACTTATTTTTTTTTGTTTTTCCAGAATTTGGCTTTTCTTTTTACATGTAAATCATTTTGTGACATGCGCACTGGAGAGACTTGCAATTGTTTGCCCTAGACTTCTGCCTTACATCCAACCTGAGTGTTTGCTGCAGTCTCCAGGAGAGGGCGTAGTTTTGTTGGGGACAGAGGGAGAGAAGCCCCTTCAGAGGGTGAAGCACACACAGCTTCTGTAGAATAAATGTGAGAATACACCCTTCCTCTGTATCTCACACACTGAGTATTTGTGACAGAATGCTGACTCCTGTTGCTGGTAAAGCTGTCACCCACACACACATTCCCCAACTTTGCAACAAGTGCTTTATTTGATTCCTCCTGTCAGCTCCATGATGAAAAGTTTAATAATAATAATCTGTAAAGTAAAAACAGAGTGTGTGAAGCGGAAGTTCATTGTATCACATTCACTTTAACCTACAGTGACTCAAAGCAGGTTCAATTCATTTAACTTCTGGATTAAAAACAGTTTACTCTGATCAGACCGATGCATCTCCATTAATCTGTGCATATATAATATTATCATTACAGCTGCACCATGGGAAATGTCTCATTCATGCCTGTTTCAGTAAATGTGATAACAACTCATATCACTCAATGTAAAGGAGCTTTATTTGGTCACAGCTTGATATATTTAGCAGATGTTCAGTGGTTACCTTTCCCGTCACCCACGTGGAAAATCCACCAGAGCCCATGTCAGTGTCACCTGATAGGCTGGTGTAATTTGGAACTTTTTCTGGAAATTAAATTACGCTTTTCAGGAGCGACGGTTGTTCAATTGCATTTCTGCTGCATTGGCGTAAACGCACCACCACCAAGAAAATAAAAAAACATCTGCTGGAGGATGAGAGCTTTATTCTTGAGGGATGTGATGGGGGAGATCAAATCAAACTGTTGTCTGTATATATAGAAAAATAAAGTCACTCTCGGACACGAACAACACATGCGCATCAGCCGTGGACGCGCAGCTTTGTGTTGAAGCAACAGGCGGTAAAGCGCACTGGGAAGAGAGCCTGGGTTGACATGTAACGCTAAAAAAAACCTCCCCCCTCCCCACCTCCCCTAGACACACCGTGTATCTATCACTTATTATTTTTGTCACATTGGACAGCAGCGTGCACTGGGAAGGCGCGTGGATACCTTTTACGCGCGGCGGTGTAAGTGCATGATTCGAGGAGAGGTTGATGCGGAAAGAGGGCGGTCAAAGTGTGACGGCTAGCAGCGCGGGCTCCGGCAGCGATCACTGTCACAGACACGTGTAATGTGTTTAGGCACATGCTTGGAAAGACCTCCGCGCAGCACTTGATGCCAGTTTTGGTGATGCCATGCCCCGGAACCACAGCGGAGACGAAGGCGGCGGCACCGGGCTCTGGATGAGGACATCGCCGGTGCACCGCACTGAAGACTACGGCTTGAAGGATGTGGAGTCCGGGCACAGGATGATGAACAACGCGGGAGAAGGCTTGCTTTCGGCAGGTGCCGCCGGGACGGAGAGCCTGCGGGGGAAGCAGGGCGCGCGGCTCAGCCTGCTGGGGAAGCCGCTCATCTACAGCGCGCAGAGCGGCCGCAGGAACGTGCGCTACCGGCGGCTCCAAAACTACCTGTACAACGTGCTGGAGAGACCGCGAGCCTGGGCGTTCATCTACCACGCATTTGTGTGAGTTTATTTTAATTTTTTAAAATGTGCATGCAGTGTGTGTTGTGAAGTTGATGCACACCTGTTGATGCTCTTCAGCCCCTCTGCAGGAACACACACTTCTTAATCTAACATAATCTTAAATGATAACAGCAGTGGTGACATTTGTTTGCACACATCACTTTTCTATATGATGGCTGACATGTGCCACGTGATGGATGTCATGCATGCACAGCTTGGAACACATTAGATTTACTTTATTGAGCCTAGTTTGGGAATTTGTTTTGTTACAGTTGGAACACATGATGAGCTTTTCTTTGGGCAATTTCGCAGCCTGCAAAATAATCCCCTCATCTGTTTGATTGACCCAACAAATGCAGTAAAACCCCATATGCACTATTTCAGTTTTGCATTTGAGCTTAAATGCAAGGTTTAACCCACTCTGGGGTAAGTGGCAACTGCAGTTTCACTAGAATATGAACATGTAGTAGTGTTTCCATTCATTTCTACATGTTTGAGGCTCTCTGTGATAAAGTTTCTTTCATATCACTGTAAAACAAAGTCTTCCTCTTTGAGGCATCCAACTGCATTTGATTTCCCGCGTGTGACTTGTTGTGGCATCATGACTCTGAGAGGAAGGAAGTGGAGGCTCATGCTGACTGTAGGGCACCATATTTATTTGTTGGTGTTTGTGGGTGGGTGGTGTTATGTGTGCACCAGGAGGAGTGGTTGGAGAGAGAGGCGAGCTGCTGCTTCAGCACATGATCCAGCAGATCAAGAAACTGATGGCTTTTATTTTGAAAGTGTAAATGCTCAGTGATGTTCAGCTGTATTTTTCTATAAATTCTTATAATTAACTTTAAGTAATGTTTTAAAACGTTCTACTTATTACAGAATGTTCCAGACTAAAAGTTCCAGCAGAACAGAGAAGTTATAAGTGACATAGCAAGTTCTTTCAAGGTTTGCTTGTGTGTTTAGCCTTTACCTTGCCTACTGTTGCTGGCAAGCTAAACACACTAGCAAGCTAAGCACATGCTAGCGCTATAGCCTGAGCTATAGGGACCATATTAAAACGTTGTCATCATTTTACTACGCTAAAATCATTGTAATTCACGATTCTATCCAGATATTACATTTCATTTCATTTAGATGATGGTTTGTAAGTGCAAGTGCATTGGTTTAAATAAGCTGAACATTTTTAGCCCTACGTACACAGATATAAATGTTCTTTCTTTTTGACAAATTATTGGCAAAATAATTACCAAAAGCTTAGAACTCTTAAAGTGGAACTAGTGTAATTACTTTTTCTTGCATTTTGCTATAAAACAAATGTTTTAATTGCATCACAGATAACATACACAATCATTCTTTAGTTGTTTTTATTTAGTAAAAAACAATCAATCTTAAATAAACAAGGCTTAATCATTACTAGGTCATGTGATGATTGTCTTAAAGGTCCCATGTCATGCTTTTCCGGTTATTACCCGTCCCCTTGTGTGTTATGTGGCTTTTTATGTATGTAAACGGTCTGCAGAGTCACAAACCCTCAAAGTACACCCTGTAGCGAGTAAAACTCTAACACAGAAAATACGTGTCTATGCTGCCCCAGAACGCCTCGTTGGAGATTTCTCTTTTTCCATTTTTTTCTTCCTGAGTATAGTGACGTGACCATAGGTCCAAATGGACCAATCCGTGGAGCTCCTCACACACACACACTTACTCAGCCTTAGCTTTTCTCAGCCGCGCTACTCCGCGGAGTTTCGCCGGCACACACCTTATCTTTTCTCAGTCTCGGCTCCGTGGATCTCCACTCACAGTTCGCCACACACTCACGTGTGTGTGCTCAGGCTGAGTCTCGCTGTCTCGCAGACCCCACGCAGCAACCAGGAAACGACACCAGTAATCCAGCTCACACTGTCCGCTCCTCGAGCCTCAAAGGGCGGAGCAGCGAGCCCCGCAACGTCCCGCCAACACGGCACCCAGACCCCACGCAGCATTCTCATCTGTTTGTCATTACTGGTGTCATTTTCTGGTTGCTAACGCCATTGTAACACATAAACGCACATCAGAGCACAGTGGGCTCATAGGGAGGGGGGGGCAGGAGCTCCAACAAGGCGTGTATGACAGAGAGTGAATACACATACTATACAGAGATGCTGTATGAGAAAACCAATGTGATTTTGGAACATTGAACAATGTAAATCTATTCTAGTATACCTCAACAATGGAATTATGATCAGTAGAAATGGCCATGACATGGGACCTTTAATTATGTTATGGGAATTCACCACAGTGTTTGTAAGTATATTAGAAATGACTAGGTTAGCTGGGTTAGCTTGCTAGCTAACAGCAGATCTGAGACAATATCGGAAGGAATCATGTGATGACATTGTTAAAATAAGCAACTTAAACTTGTTTGTGCAGCGCGTTTCTCCAAATGGAAGAGTTTTGCACCATGCCATTGACTCTCTTGCACCTTTTGATTAAAGGGTTAGGCCTTCATATACTTTAATCAACAGAATACCTTTATTATTTATCCTCCATTCTAGACTCTCCGACCCTCTGTTAACTCTGAGGTTGTAAATGTTGAGACAGTTTCCTATTGCTCAAAAATGCTAATTTGAATCACAAAGTTCACCAAAGTTGAAAGACACAACCCTGTTTAATGGATCTACTGATTTAGTTTGTTTGTATTGATTGTACCTGTTTTAAATTCTGGACTGTGTGGAATATCTTTACTCCAACAAGTCTATCTAATCAGCCCAGTTTGCACAGGAACTGCACATCTTAAATTCAATTATTACCTTAAACTGAATTAGAGGAGCTGCTGTTTCTTGCCAATCAGGGTCCAGCATTTTCCCAGGAGGAGTTTGTTTTTACACTCATAATTCCCTGCAGGAAGATTACATTTATTGTGGTATAAAAGTGTCTCAGTTACTTTATGAGGCCTGTCCACACTCACAGAGGTTTTGTAATGACGTCGATGATCACCATCGGGGTCATCCAGTTCAATGATGACTGTCCTCACCCTCTTTTATAAGGACCATAACTTCAGAGGCACCTTTGGTGTCCACTTTAGTCTACACTTTTGCTAAAAGGGAAAAATGGTCATTTACATTTATTTTTTTAAGAGACTCACGAACACCCACAAGGGTGCTCGGACCCTCTCCTCAGATGAGCGATCGTGAAGGTTAGGAATGCTCGGCTGGATTCCTGGGAAGTTGGTGAATGAATGTCTTTCATCCCTGTGGCAGGGGGCTGGAGACATGGAGGTACTGAACTCCCACTCATACCTCAGTTCTCTCTCCTGTGACGCCCCGTGGCCTTGAAAGTCCTGCTGACCTGACAATTGTTGCAGTTGATAGCCTTGCTTTCAGTTGGTAAGCTACACAATAGAGTGTGGCTTACCAACTGAAATACGACATCACCGCACAGTGATTTTTGCAGGACGACCCAGAAGTTGGCAAAGCCAACAGAAGCAATGTGATATTTCCATTGCATTTCCAAATATTGCAACAAACAAGTTATTTGGCAACACACGTTTATGATACTTATACGTTTGGGTCAGCAGTACAATATCCACCTGTGGCGGCCGGCCCATAGGGGTGCTAGGGGCGCCGCCCCACCTCTTCCCACATTCTAGATTGTCATTAAAGAATATTTTAGTTTTGTAATTCAATTATAAAAATAAAAAAATGTCTTTTTAATGAACAAGGTACATATTATATAGTTGGTGTCAGTTAAATGTATAATCTACGATAACATATCAATAAAAATAGTTTTACGATGTCTAAAGTTACTGATAAGTCACATGTTTTCTGCTTGGGGCGCAGACATCTTTGCCCATTGACTCTCGTTATAAGTGGTGCATGCGCAGTCCGCACCCCTTCAATGCAAGTGATAGGAGCAGCTCGGGGCGCACCAAACTGCACCCAAAGCAGCTGTTGACACCACCAACAAGTAGGGGGCAGCAGGAGCCCAGAGTGACTGATTGACGTTTGAATGAGAGAGTTAGAGTGTAGACAAAGTGTAAACAAAACTAGATAGCGAATATGGAGAAGGAAAATTATGTTTAATCACTTAACCTGTTAAGCCCGGATGCCACCATTTTTACCGAAACAAAACACAAGTCTCACAAGAAGCGTCTAAATGAGCCCTGAGCGAAAAAATGCTGACGCACTTAGCACAGAACTCACGGTAGAAATACTTTATTACTTATCGGATCTGCACAAACAAGATATCAGATTAAAGCTGAGATTCCACAGATTCTAAAAGTATTAGTATCATCACTGTGCGATCACAACTCGGAAGCATACACAGACATCACACGACGTAGCTTTACGGAGCAAAAACGGCAAATAGTCTTACCTTTGCTGTTGTTCTGATCAATAGTTGTGTTCAATGGCATTAAAACGATAAAAACGCTGCTGAAGGTTAATCCATAGGTTAAACCAATGTGTCTGTGTCACTTTGAAATGATTACTGATAATCAGTGTTGGGTGTAACACGTTACAAAAGTAACGGAGTAATGTATTACTTTTTGCTGTAACGAAGTAATGTAACGCATTATTACTAATGAAATTTGGGTAATATACTACCCGTTACAATTCTCAATAACGCAGTTACAACTCCTTTTAACCCGAAATTAACTGGTGTTTTGTTTTTTAAGAATTCACTAACATCGCGAGACATTCCGACACCAGAGAACATTTGTGCCGGTAGATTAGTAAGCCTGGTGTTTACGTAATCAGTCAGGCTGATCTTGATGAGCCTGAAGGGTGTTCTTTTCCCCATAATGACCAAGTCGCTGCACATTATCCCGCTTATTACATGGCCAGATATTAAACAAACTAAGGAATCGACTCCCAATATTAATTGAAATTATTGACATAAAATTGTCGTATTTCTTCAGAAAAAAAAAAAAAAAAACTCCGTTCCACGGCGCACCAACGGCTGGAACTGCGACAACAACAACTTTACGGCAGCACTGTCCAACTCTGTTCACAGTTTCTGATCCACTA